ACCAGCATGCTAATGTCCCCACTTCTCATTAAATTTGTTTGTATGAAAAATTCTTTGAATTGGCAAGAATATGACACCTAATCAAGGAACGACCCTTAGTCATTTCTTTATAAGGTGGCTAGCTGTAACGACCCGGCCGGTCGTTTTTGGAATTTACGCCCCGATCCCCCCTTAACTGCTTCCCCTAAGTTCGTTTTTGCTATTTTGGTTTGCCGGGACGTTCAGTGTTAGGATTCGGAGTGTTTTGGGGCACTTAGTCCCTAAATGAGAGCATAAGTGTTGAAAACTGGTTCATAGTCGGAACAGTGTGAAGACGACCTCGGAATGGAAATCTGATGGTTCCGTTAGCTCCGTTAGGTGATTTCGGGGTTGGGAGCGTGTTCGGAATGAATTTTGGAAGTCCATAGCTCATTTAGGCTTAAAATGCCAAAGTTTGTATTTTTGAAGTTTCCGGTCCGATAGTGAGTCTTTGATCCGAGGGTCGGAATGAAATTCCGGAAGTTGCAGTAGCTCCGTCATGTCATTTGGGATGTGTGTGCAAAATTTTAGGTCATTCGGACGTATTTTGGTTAGGTTTTTGATCGAAAGCGTATTTGGAAGAAATTTGAAGTTCTTAGGCTTGAATCATTGATTAAATCGGGTTTCCGGTGTTGTTTTAGGTGTTTTAAGGATTGGTACAAGTTCGGATATGGTTTTAGGTGGTATTGGTGCTTTTGGTTGAGGTCCCGGGGGCCTCGGGATGATTTCGGGTGGTTAACGGAGGAAATTTCTAAGTTTGCAGCAGCTGGTATTTTTGTTCCTTCTAGTATTTCCGCTTCTGTGGCTTGGGAAATGCAGAAGCGGAGCCGCAGAAGCGAGTTTGGTCCCCCCCCTCAGGAACCGCAGAAGCGGTTGATTTTCCGCCTAAGCGGTACCGCAGAAGCGGTTATTTATCCGCAGAGGCGGAGATCTGGCCTTTTAAAAGAAGCCGCAGAAGCGGCCAGTGTTTCGCATAGGCGGGACCGCAGAAGCGGTCCCTAGACCGCAGAAGCGGTATTCACTGTGCAGATATAGAAATTCGAGGGTTTTAATTTCATAAGTTGAAAAAAATCAATTGAGAGCTCGGTTTAAGGCGATTTTGAGTGGGTTTCGAAGAGAAGATCACCGGGTAACGTTTCTTTGGTCCCTTTTTGTTATATTTCATCATTATATAGTTAAATACATCATTGGAATTCTTTTAGGATCAAAAATTGGATAATTTGGGGTAAAACTTCATTGCCTAAACTATTGAGTTTTGAGTGGGCATTTGACCTCCGAATTGGGAGACTCTTATATGGTTAGACTCGTGAGAGTACGAAGGTTCTAAAAATGTGAAAATTATTCGATTCCGAGACGTTGGCTTGAGGGGCGTTTTGGTCATCTTACCTATTTTTGCGCCCTAGCTTTAAATTTATTACCGGAATCAGTTGTTTGCAATATTATTTACGATGTGTAACTGAATTGAATAGATTTGGGCCATTTGGAGTCGGATACTCGTGGCAAGAGCGTAGTTTCTAGTTGATATTGAGTTGGTTCGAGGTAAGTGGCTTCTCTAACCTTGTGTGGGGGACCTTTCCCCTTAGGATTGTTCTTGATATTTGAGTGCCTTGTACGTGAGGTGACGAGCGCCTACTTGAGCCGATCGATGAAAATCCGGTTTTTACTTAAATTATTGAGATTTAGTTTCTTTCTTACTTGCCTTACTCTACTTGAATTTATAACTTGTGCTAGATTAGGAAAAGCATGTTTAGCTTACTTGACTGCCTAGTTGCTTAAGTTGTTTTGACTGTTCTATGTGAAGCATGCTGGGCTAGTTCTATCTGTGTTTGTATTTCGTACTTCATTTCTTGGTATATTTCTGGCTGTGGTTGCGCATTTACATTGGGACTACGGATGTGGGATTCCGGTAGTTCCCCCCCTTGTCTGTTTACTTTGGGACTGCGGGTTAGATTCCCGATAGATCCCCCTACACATTGACAGCTGGACTACGAGACGGTATCCTGGGAGATCCTCATTGTTACCATTGGTATTGAGCTGTACTTATTCTATGTTTGCTCCGTTCTTTGTGTATTTGTTATTGCTTTGTTTAGTCTGTCTTATTCCACTGCTATACTCACTGTCACTGCCTATTTTCATACTGTTGATTTATATTATATTGTTTAACCTCAGTAGGGCCCTGACCTTCCTCGTCACTACCCAACCGAGGTTAGGCTTGGCACTTACTGAGTACCGCTGTGGTGTACTCATGCCCTTCCTGCGCATATTTTTCATGTGCAGATCCAGGTACCTCTACTCAGGTGAACTATCCTTGAGGCGAGGAGATACGTGGAGACTTCGAGGTATATCTGCCGCGTCCGCAGACCAGGAGTCTCTATTCTGTTCTAGCTTTAGTATCTAGTTTATCCCTTTTCCCTCAGTTGTTTAGATATTCTGGAGTTAGAGCAGCGTACTATGTTTCCGTTAGCCTGTGGTTCCCGTGAGTTTCCGGATTTTGGGATTGAGTTGTAGACTTCCGCATTTCATTTGAGTTGTATGGGCCGAGCAGCCTTATATGCAGTTATTATTTTGATATGTTCAGTTCTAATTAATTATTCCGCAAGTTAGGTTGTTATTTCCGCATTGTTAGGCTTACCTAGTTATAGGGACTAGGTGCCATCACGACATGTTCACGTAGGGCGAACTGGGGTCGTGACAAACATCCTCTTCAAGTTCCTCCTCGGTCACCGAATAATCGGTGCCTGTACTAGAAGAGTCAGTTGCGTCAGGCTGAGCCAGGAGATATTCTCAAGCAGTTAACTCCAGCACTCGGGGCTTGGTAATCACATTATCAATATCAATAAGGCCCGCTTTGGCCTACTCCAAGGTTTTCCTCTTCATATGGTACATAGAGTATGTCTTTTCAAAGATGCAGGAATCCCCTTAGTGATAGAGCTTTGCCTTAAGCCTGTCAACCTTAGCCAAAAGGCCATCCCGCTCGGATCTCATGGCACCAAAGCTAAGATCGAGATCACAGATTGAGATATGTGAACCCTGTTTTGATCCATGACCATATTATACCTATCTTCCATCCGAGCCCGCTTCTCCTCGGCAGCAGCAACCTCTTCGTCTTTGGAGTTCAAGACTGACTTTCATTTATTATCATTAGTATTGTACATGCTAAAAATAGAGAAGAGATATTCGTGATTACTATTACAAGAAAAGAGATGTTCGTGATTACTATCACAAGAAAGTCGCCCCCTATCTGCTAAAAACGTCTTGTCACTTCGTTCATACCTTCTTGGCTTATGCTTCCAACCGAACAACATGGCCTTGCTACCCCTTTTGGGATTAAATCAAATCCATTTTTGTTCTCTTGAAAATTTCCTTTAAAGAAGATGAATTATTGGCTATTGAAACTTCTGTGCGAAGCCTTCATAGAATATAAGACATCATCATTATAGGCACAAAATCTTTCTGCGCCTTTTTTGGAATATATATTTGCATTTTAAAATTTTAGGAAGTTGTTCCCCTTTAAATTTCTACGAACCTTTTCAAAACTCCATTATATCTGTATTGCTCAATAACTTTTTAATGAAAATTCACACCAATCCTTTTCAGATACATATCATCCACAATTACTTTTTAATTGCTTCCTGGTGGCGTTTGGATTGAAAGCAGATATAATTAATTTTAAACGTGTATCAGTATATGACAGATGTCTTTTCTTTTTTCCTTTTTTTTGGGCTAACTTTAAATATCTCATGTTAAATGTAAACTTTTCCAGTTTATATCGTTTTGTTATGAATCATGAAATAGGTCTAAAACAATTAACTCTAACTAGCAGATTATGGTCTAAATTTAGATAATTTATAATGAAAAATTCAGTGTTAAAAGAAACTTGCCAAACACGTGGATGGATTATGTTTACTAAAACCAAAGAAAAAAAAAAGCAACTTAATTCTGCAAAATATGCTCACCGTCTATAAAACGATAATCTTGATTTCCCAAGGGTCTATCTTTCATTAAATAACTTTCACTTTTTTTATGCTTGCCAAATTTCGTTATGTGTTCTTATAGGATGTCAATTTTTCATAATATAATAATATCACCTACATCCCAATGTTTTCAGTCAATTCGGCTTTGCAACGCTAATGGGCTCTACATTAAGCCCAAAACATTCAGCCCTAATGTACTTTTGCAAAGGAATAGTTTTCTATTTTGCCTTTTTTACGTAAAATGTATATTTTTAGTCGCTCCCAAAAATAAAAATTGATATACACACACAGACATGCATATTTCATATATTTTTTTTGCTAGAAATACAATAATTTGGATCGATCGGCCAATTTTATATTTTGCTCAATTTTTACGCAGTCGAGGACCTTTAAATTTTAACCCCGTTAATAAAGTCTTAAATTTTTAGTCTTCCTTCGTAACTTTGTCTAGGGGTGTGCATTCGAATCGGTTTATCGATAAATCGAATCGATTATTTGTTATCGGTTTATCGATATCGGTTTATGGATTTATCGATTTCGATTTCGATTTCGAAATTTTCCTTATCGAGTTATCGATTTCGATTTTGTCCTCTTCGGTTTATCGGTTTATAGATAAACCGATAAGAAATACTAAGAACAAAAATTAATTTTTTTTTTATTTTTTTTTTTTTTTACTTCTTTATTCTATAAT